CCGCCAATACTTCTGGGACAGTCAGTGCCTCTACGATTTAGTGCTAGAGGCGCATAGATGGAAGGGTGCGATCGCTGCCAAAACGATTGATGGTGATGGTGGTGATGAAGTGTTGATTTGCAGGGGCATGCTGCTGCTGCTGAGTGTGCTGGTGGCCTCGGCCTTCTGCCTGCTCGGTACGCGTGCTGCTTCTCGGGAAGCCGATGGATTTGTCACGTGCACGTCGGTGGTTAAGCTTAAAAACAACCAGGATGGTACGTTTTTGTTTCGCTTGGCTTCTTTGCACCAGCCTTAATTCCTAGGCCGTTTCTCAAGCTCTGCTGCTGGGAGGTGTTTCGGTTGCTTTGACCAGTGTTGCATGGCCCGGTGGTCAGCCTTCTGGCGGTAGTGGCTTTCGTTTTTGCCTCCCCAAAAGGGATAACTGGCCCTGTGGTTCTCTTGATTAGGGTACTCAGTAGGGCTTTTTTAATCCTTTCGGCATGTTTTTGATGTTTTTTTTTTGAGCATCAGCACTTCGTCTGAAGAGGTACCACTCTTAAACTACGGTGAGGCAATAAGGTACACATGTTCTACTGACAGAGAAATGTTCTTGATGAAGAGATGAATGTGGTTTGCTTTTGTAGGCATGTGAAATTGCCCTATTCCCTCTCCCTTCCCTCCGCTCCAAAGGATCTACTGGATTCAGAGAAGCTTAAAAAGCTCAAACTTTGGCGAGAAAAATCCCGCACTAACACATTACTTCCAAACTATCTTTTGTTTAATGACTACAATTTTACGTTGGCCTCTTCCGCCTCCCCTTTTTTTTATAGGCCAAGTTTCGTTAGCCGGCGTACTTTAAATAATTGGCCAGCGCACGGACTGCCCCTGCGAAGATGCGTTTTTTGCATAGATCTCCGCAAATTTTTGTCGCAAGCGGCACTGGTTTTTCCGACAGGTGCGTCTAGCTAAAAGAATTTCCGACCAGCGGCCAGGACTGTCAGGAAACGTCCCTTCAAACTCCCAGTCTTCTAGCTTCTCACGTTCCCGAGCTAGCAACTTAACCGAATTCACGGGCCCATACGTAGGTACCACGCTTACTCGGGGGCTGGATTTGAGCTCATTAATGCCCACTTGGACGGGGAGCATTGCCCTAAAACTTCAGCTTTCTAGCTTCTCAGATCCCCGAGTTATGAAAGTACCCGAAAAAAACTTTGGCGGACTCCTACATGGGTACCACGTGGGTAATGGCGCCCATTTTGGGAATTGGGGCCCATATGTGCATGTAGATTAAGTTTCCAAAGTTTCAGCCCTGCAACTTTTATAGGTCTTGAGATGAAAGATCGGGACAGACGCGCACACAGATACCCAGGCAACCCCTCGTCAATATGCGTTTTTGCATTGCATAGCTGCAAAAAACGCATAATAAAAACGAGATGTCGCTGCTGTAAATCCTTCAGGTTGCTTTTGTGCTCGGTGTTTTGACATGAGCTTACTTCAGGAGTTCGACTGCATTCACATGACGTGAAGTACGGTTCGGGCAGTGGTCAGCAGTCGGTGACAGCAGTCCAGGACGGCGACGATGTGAATTCATACTGGCAAATACTCGCTGGTCAGTTCCCTTCCTCCACTGAATAATAACAAAACACTGTCATTGGTTGGGGCGCTTCAGTTTGAAACAAAATAGGACGAAAATACGGGCGAATCAGGTCCCAAGCATACTAATTTGTCTTCTTTTTTGATAGGAGAAATCTGTTGCATTTTATCTGTTAAGTATTGCCATCTTCCCCGCAGTGAGTATGCACTCGAAATGAGATTATGACGAAGCATGGTGCATATA